GGCTCCTACATGACAGGATGGGTAGGTGTTGGGAAAATGGAATAATTGGTCAGGCTCCCCTGCCTTGGAGCCGGTTCAGGGTCTTCAGTAAACATTGAGTGTGTGGGTGGAGTAAGTGCACCTGCAAGACGGCGCCACTTTGGCTGGTGTTTTACTGCCTTGGGCACCCGCCCTGTGTGGCCATGTTTTTTCCAGACCTGCAGCTTCCAAGGACTGTGTGGCCAGTTACCTAGCTTATAGACCTGCGTGAAAGGGTCTAGTGACCCAGCCTGGTGTGTGAGGGGTCTGAGGACCCAGCCTGGTGTATGAAGGGTTTGTGACCCAGTCCGTGAATGGGCTTGAGGGGTCTGGAAGCTCCAGACCCGGCCCTAGCTCAACCATTGGCCCAGTCAGTGCAGGATTACCGGCAGGTAAAAGAGCCCCAACAACTAGCGTTTTACAATTGGTGTCACAAACAGGATTAAGAGCTAGACAACTGGCGCTGTGAATAGGATTCACGACATCAGCCTTAGCCTTAGCCTCGCAGTAGCCCTTGCCATAGCTTAGTTGTAGCCAGACAGAAGATAACAATGAACAAGTGAATAAATGCATACATTTTTATAAAGTGTGATGATGGGTAAATACTCTGCAGGGAATGAACAGAGGATGGACACACTGTGCGTTAGGTGGGAGGAAAGGTGATGTTGAAACCTAACCTGAAGAATAAGGAGCTGTCATAAAAAGGAGGAAAAAGAACCTTCTAGGCCAAGGGAAGAGCAAGTACAAAGTCCTTGAGATAGGAAAGAGCTTGATTAGTTCCAGGAATTGAAAGGAAGCAAAACAATGGAGAATGGTGAGCAAAGAATCAAAAGAACAAGATAAAAGATGAGGTTGGAGAGTTAGACTGGGGCAGATCATGAAGAGTCTTGCAGGCTGTGGCACAATGGTAGGTGAGCCACGGAATGGTTTGGGGTGGAGTGGGACAGGGAGGAGGTGGGGGCTAGCACATGGGATATGAACATTTTGCATTTTGAAAAGTCCACTGTAGCTGCAGGGTGGAGAATCAGCTGGAACAGGGAAAGAGTAAATGAGAGAACTTGGCAGTGCCCCCAGGGACAGAGAGGTGGATAGATCTGAGGTATGCTTAAAGGCAAACTGACAGGAGCTGCTGATGGGGTGGATGTAGGGCATTCAAGGATTCAGGATGACTCTCAGTTTTCTTGATTAAGCAACTGGGTGGTAGGTGGTACCATTTACTCTGCTCCTAAGAAATATAATTATTTACCCCAAACTTAGCTTTTTCAGTTCTTGATCATTTTTGAGTAATCTGAAGACACCACAAATTCAGCCTGTATCAAGGTTACTGGATTAGAGGTGAGAAGCAATTTAAACAAGGCTACACGTGATTTATCCTAGAAACACAAATACAGAAATGATGTCTTCTATGGGTGCTGACAGCAACCTTTCTCTCTTTTTCTTCTCTTTCTCAAGCACTTGGAAATCAAAACTCCTTAGACACACGGAAACGTGCTCAACATCATTAGCCATCAGGGAAATGCACAAAACCACAATGAGATATCACTTCACACCCACTAGGATGATTACAATTGAAAAGACAGATAGTAGTAAGTGCTGACAAACGTGGAGACACTGGAACCCTCATACACTGCTAGTAGAAATGTAAAATGGTACAGTCGCTTTGGAAAACAGTCTGGTAGTTTCTCAAAAGACTAAACAGAGTTACCATATGATCCAGCTATTCTACTCTTGTGTATATCCAAGAGAATTGAAAACATGTGTTCAAACAAAAATGTTTACACAAATGTTCATAGCAACATTTTTCATAATAGTACAAAAGTCGCAACAACCCAAATGTTTATGTTATATCAACTGATGAATGGACAAAGAAAATATTCCATAGTGGAATATCTTTTGGAAATAAGAAGTAATGAAATATTGATCCATGCCAGAATATGGATGAACCTTGAATACATTATGCTAAGTGAAAAATGCCAGTCACAAAAGAACACATATTGTGTGATTTCATTTATGGGAAACATCCAGAATAAGCAAACCCATAGAAATTGAAAGTAGGGGCTGGCCCGGTGGCGCACGGCTACAGTGCGCCGCTTGGGAGCGCAGCGGCGCTCCCGCCGA